AGACTAAAACTATGCACGAAGTATTGTTCTGTGCTAAGATGTCTCTTGTATGTTGGTGTTGTGAGAGTATATGTCTTTAGTTGTGTATGTTGTCTCTTTCCTTGAGTGTATTGCCTAAAAAGGAAAATTCTAAGGATCTGAGGAATTTGCGGAAAGAGTTTTTTTTTTTTTAATAATTTTTTTATTGATAAAACTATAAATTTATGAATATATATATATATTTATAAATATATATATATATTTGATATATGGGTCAATAACGCAATGGGTGTACTCCCAGATCACTATTCACAAGTTACTGGTTCAATTCCACTTCAGAACAGTATTTACATTATAGATTATATTATATAAGAATATATACTAATCAGCCACATATATACTTGAATATAAACAACCTATAGAAATCCACTGTTTAACCATGGTATTATAAAACAAGTCATACAGATCTTGGTTGGTTTTAGTATTAGGAAATAAGCCATGACATCCCACAACTTGAAATATTCGCAGACATTAAGAATATCAAGAAAGATAATAATAAGACTCAGGATCCTATTGGTCTCATATAGAATCTATCTCTTCTCAAAAACTCCAGTCTTATGGGAGGTCTGAGAGACTTCGATCCACATACCAGAGGCAAAATATAAGGACTGGATACATACTGAAAGATCTTTGATTGTTATTATCAATGGTTATTAGAGACTGGACCTCGTGAGTTACCAACGAGGAGTGATAAACTTGAATAGTCATAATGGAAAAATACAAGAGTAGATCTTGTGAGAAGAAATTCAAAAACAATTATCAAGGTAACCAATCCAATGGGAGGAACAATTCACTACGAAGTAATCAAGAGAAACTTCTGAAAGACCATATTTGAAGAGCGGTTAAAAATGGTCACTGGAAGACTACGGTTATCAATCTGACTCACCAATGGCCACCGAGAGACTTGGTAGAACTGCATGAAAACGGAAAAATATCAATGGACAACTAACTTTCTGAGAACTAAGCACAGTAAAAAGGATATTAACTTAAGAATGGAACACAACTCCCATAAGATATAACAGATTCCACGAAGCAAACAATCCCAAACAGCTTCCTGAATATAAGAAGAAGTCTCCTAGTAGATCCTTGAAATATCAAGAGTATCTGGGTACAGCAGGGTAGCTGACAAAATGATATCCATATCAGGTAAAATCTAAAGATAGATTGAATGGATTAGGATAATATAGATTAGATATAAGAATTGTTCTTTTAAAAATAACTTTGTACAAACTCCTTAATAATTGATCAATAAAGCCCAATCAGTATGACTAGTTAAAATATATATATATATATATATATTAATAATTTTATATATCAAAAAAATTTTTTTATTATTTAATTATTTAGTTTTTATAATGTTTTCAAAATCAATAATTTAAAAAATTTTTTTATTTTTAATTTAAAATTTTATAAATTTTGTTTACCTCAGTTTGACCCTGAATTTTGAGTAACACAAATTCTCATCAAAGGTGATTGGCTAATATAAAACATGTCAGTTTTTGGAATGTAAACAAGCTCCTATTGGTCATACTCACATGTTTTGATATATTATTGGTGATATAGGAAAAAAAGTTCTAGAAAAATAACACTTCAATCATATATGTTCAATCTCCAGGAAACAATTATAATATCGAAAAGTGAGTGATAAATAGAAATAAAAGATTCAACTTTTATTTCTTATTAAGTTTTTCAGGTGATAAAAAGATTTTCTTGAACAAAAGCTGAGATCTCCAAGCTTCTATTCTGGTTAGGCAAAGTTTATGAAAAGATTTCTTTATCCCAGTCAGACAAACTCTTTTGTAATATGGCACTAGTTTTACTAGCAATAAGTAAATCTATATATTGGCAGAAGGATAAGTTCTTCAAATATTCTTCTTGAAGTCACTTTCAAAAATAACTAAGTTCCTCAAATATCATAAAGCTTAGAGAATATCTTAATCAGGCAAACTCCTTTTGAAAGAAAACTGTAAAATGAAGTAAAAACCTTTTGGAGGGCTTTGAATTGTATTCCCCTCCTTTTCTTTTTCCTAGTGCCAACTTTAGCAATTCATTATTTTTAAAATAATTAATAGTAACAAACTATTGACAATAACCCTGATTAACTTAAAAGCACTATATCAAGTTACTAGGAGAGTAAGATATTGTCCTCTAAATTTGATTTAGAGTACCTAGTTTAGACTTAATTTTGTTTAGTCCAAATTAGCTTAGTGAATTTCTTATATTTTTTAAGTAGTATAGTTCTTTAACTAATAATGTATAATGCTGAATTAGTCATTTTGTGAAAGTCTGTAAAATATTTAGGTATCTCTTAATATCTCAATAAAGACATGCCAAAAGTGACATAATTGCGGATTAAAAAAAAAAAAAAAAAAATTTATTCATTTTACTAATAAAAGTATATAGTATATATAAAGTTTCTAATATTTAATTAACAAATTTTTTATTTACAAATAAAAATAAAAAAAAAATTTTTTTTCAAAAGCGAGTATTTTAAAAAAATTTTTTATATTAATAAAATTTTTAATCAAATTATAATTAATTAAAATTTTCCAAAAGCAAGTGTCCCACACTATATAATTAAAGAATTGATAAAAAAGTTACTAATTGTAAAAATTTTTTTATAATATCAAATATTTTATATATAAAAATTATCAAATACTATATATATAGTAAATATATTTTATTTTCAAAAGCAGATATCTTATAATATTATAGTCACAAAATCGGTATTGTTACAATAAAAAACATAGATATTAATTAATGTACAGTAAGTTACCTATTGTAAATTTTACTTAAAATATAAAAGCCATAAAATCCAAATTACTTAGGCTATTAAAATCTTAATGATATACAGTAACAGCTTTAATATATTTAACGCAATTTTAAAATTAGTTTTTGTGTTTTCACCTAAACAAATTCTTTAGAATGTTCGAAACGAATATTATTTTTTAATCGGACTTTTTTTGATTATCGCTTTGACATCTATTGGTAACACACGCAACATATACAGTATATAATTGTGCAACAGATTTTTTTCGAATAGTGTAACAACCCTATTGGTGTTTCGGCGAGGAAAGGGGAAAACAATTAATCCTCTACGGTTCTTCATAGTAAGTGAACATCGGAAAGATGCCACTATTTTTGGCCGGTGCGTAGAAATTGTGCAACTCGAGAGTTAGTTGGATCTACGCGTGTTGGAGATGTCAATTTTCTATTAATTTATGCAATTTACGACAATATACGATATGCATGCATCTACGGGATGAACAGCACAACTAACTAATTGCGTTACGTAATTTGCTGCGCGTGTGATTGTAACCAACGTACAATAATAAGGTTACCCGCGGTGCACAAAAATGAGAATATAAATGAGTTGATTTCGTTCACATGTACATTTTATTTTCGTCACTTGTTTCTCCCTTCTTCTTTCCTAACTAATACCATCCTTTTTTTTTTTTATCATCCAATCAAAAAGAAAAAAAAATCATGCCAGAGATTTACGACACAGTCAAATCATTCAAACAACTATCTAGCGATTTCCTCAGAATTCTTGATCAGGAAGAAACCTTTGATGTCATAATTTACGTGGGTGATGAAACTTTTAGTAAATCGTTTAAAGCCCACTCAATTGTCTTAAGAACCCGGTCGGAATACTTTCGTGCTGCTCTGTCGGCTGCATGGGGTAAGAAAAAAGTTGATGGATATTTTGTCATTGATCTACGAGGCATTGGTATACCGCACACGATATTCGGGCATGTGCTTTTGTATGTATTAGATTAATTTAATTCTTTCTTCATTAAATTCCATTCTCTGGGGTTGAACCGTTGTTTCCGTTCCATTGTGCACTTCTTTGTTACAGTCCTTTGATAAATTCTGATAGAATTTTACATCCTTCATTGGGAGGATACGACTTTCTTGGTTTTCTCGATTTTTTTTTATCTTTTCTCTCTCTCTTTGTTTTTTCGTGGGTATTAACACAATTTACTTATTCTCTCAAAAAGTTATATATATGGTGCTTATTTAAGAGTCGAAAAACTTGGGATTACTGAGAAATTACAACTATTGATGGCAGCAGACATATTAATGATGGACTCTTTTGTGGACTATCTAGAGGCAGAGTTAATCAGAGACAAGAAATCTTGGATAAACGAGAAAAACAGCGAAGTATTATTCATAGCATTACAAATATCTCGTTGCAAGGAATTAGTATCTTTATGTAATGACGCGATATTAAGGCATCCGAAGGTTTTCGTCAGTTCTAAAGAATTCCTGTTCATGCCGCATGACTATATGATCGGTCTATTGGAACGAGATATATTAGGGTTAGACGAAGTCGACATTTTTGCAGCTGTGGTAATGTGGGGCATCAACAATACACCGGGAATTTCATTAACGGACGATTTTTCAACGTGGACAACTGATAACATCACCACATTACAATCCAACGTAATTCAGCTAATATCATTGGTAAGGTTTTTCCATATGCCACCGGACGATTTCATCAAAAAGGTTGGACCGCTGACAAAGGTTTTCGCTCCGGAACTATATGATCAAGTTATCGAATATCATTCTAAAACCCAATTCCAATTTATATACGACGTATTACCCTTGCGTTTTAATTCAACAATAATTAAGGAGAAGGAGGAGCCAGCATTGATTTCCTATTGGATAAGTCACCCAGAAACCGAATGCGACCTTCCGGAGAATCCACCATTCACATCTTTTGACAAAATACCTTTTGACTTTCATTTAATTTTTCGCTGTCACGGCAACGAATTGGCGGAAGCAAAATGGAGGGATTTGTGTTACAATCAAGGTCCAACGATGACGATAATTAGAACAAAAAATCAAAACGAGGATGAAGCAGTATTTGGAGGGTACAAATCGATCAGTTGGTCAACCGAAAACCGAAACACTCATATTGGTGGCGACGGCTTCATATTTGGATACCTGTGGCAGCAACGAAAGCTACTTCTGCCTTGGATGCTCCGAGTGAGAAATCATCTTGATGCAGATATGTTTCTGGGGGATGGAGTTGAAGTATTTATTGATTTTCGTCATGGTGAAAAGTTGTTGGCTCACGCCAATGGATTTGAAGATTTGGAGGAAACAATCGAAGAGTTGGAAGTCTTTCGAGTAGTAAAAAAAGCAATGGATGATGGGTGATTATTAGGCCATCAACTAGGTGTGAACATTCCAGGTAATAGGTATTGAGGTTTACATACATTGGGGAAAAAATAATATACTTACATTATCCGGATGGAGCATAAGTTTTTTTTTGGAAAATTTTATACGCGGACTGTTATTGCACTCAAAAAAAAAAAAACACTATTGTTTATTTATTTTCACACGACAATAGCAACTTTCAACTCTTCATTATTCCTTCATTTCTTGTACAATATATGTCAAAGTTTTCGCAGATTCCACCTTCATTTACTTGCAATAGAGTTTAGATTCAAAATTATATAGTTGCAACGAACTGAAAATTAATTAAATAAAAAAACTTGAAATTTTGAACAAAATATAACATTCATTATAAAAATTCATTTTACAAGCGAACAACGACCACATATATTCATTATGCGGAAAACAAAATAAATTCATTATTAACGCGTATTTTTACGTCTGGCAAGATATTTAGTGCTACACGATTGAACACTCGACAATGTCTTAATTCCTGCGTTACGACATATTACCTATTTTTTTTTAAAAAAAAATAATCGATTACCTAATAAAATATTCCTAAGTGACAGTAACACGTAAGTCGCGGTTTAAAGATACCCCCTAGAATACTTTCTGGCTTATGCATGAATATTTTTGCGGTATAAATACTACTTGATTGGTCAGAAAGACATCTTAAACTGGGTAATAGATCTCTATCGTCAAGACACGTTAACTGCTTATACAAAAAATTTTTGAACATGTAATTTAAACTCGAATTCCTCCGAAATACTATATGCACCATTGTAATTTACAGTACATTAATACATCATAATTGATTTGCAATTTATATAACCGAAACTCACGCACGGACGGGTATCCCGATAATTAACTAGTCTAGTTAATCTACAGCAATTAATTGATTGGTCATATTAATATTAACATACTGTAAATTATACAAAAAAAAAAAAAAAAACTCTTTCTCGCAGATCCCAAAATTCTTAAAAATTTCAATTTTTTTCAAGAAACAAAAAAGCGTATGGAAGAGATGAGTTCTTATAGAACCCTTCGCAGTTTCAAAACCAGTACAAGACCCAACTACAATGAAAACCTTTTGGCAAGAGATAATGCAAAAAATCTTTAAAAAGAAACTAATATGAATAGTAAAATGATAACAACTTTAAACAAGAGTAAAGAACTTGAAAAACCAACAGAAACCATTTAAAACCTCCTTACAAATGAACAAATAATCCAACAATCCATAGTCGACTATCAGAGTTCTCAAAACCATAGTGAAAAGAATGCAAACAGCTCAACATTACATACATAAAATAATCAGATAGAAGAAATAATCATTATTAAAAATAGATCAATATCTCAAGAAAGCATGCAAAAAGGAGACACCAGACACTCAACAACACATCCACACATCAACAAGAATTGATGACTTTGACATAGAAATGTATGTCAAAGAAAAGGAAGAATTAAATCAAGATCCAAACAAGAAAAATATCAAAAAAATATAGCAAATTCAAAGAAACCAAAGGAAAGGTTGTTCAAGATTAAGATTACTATTTGACAGAATAACAAGATATGGCAAGGAAAGATTAAAGCAGGAATCATGACAAGAGACATTTTCAGCATTATTACTGGTCAAAATATTACATATTTAATCAAAACATTAGGAAGCTTGGAAAGTTTCTTCAATATTTATAAAAAAAAAAAAGAAAGTGTTGATTATATAACTGCCTTATTTGGGGAGAAACAGGTTGTAAAGGAGGCACATAACTTAATTTTATCAAACACAGATCAGAAAAAATTGATATGCATGACAATCACACTAATTGAGTCAAAAAAGAAAATCAATATTAGGATATGGGATATTTTCCTATCACAAAATTTATAGAAATACAATAAACCTTCACTAGATATAGACAAATTACCAATATATTAATATATACAAGTTAAATATGACAAATAACAACAATCACATTTCAGAATAAGGAAGTCTAGAAACAACTTATCCAACAATACAGTATATTAATCAAGGAAAATACAATAAGAATAATAAATACACAATGGAATAGACAACAAATAATAAAGAAGTTCCAACATGTAGCAAAACCTACTGATCTTCTACTGAGTATCAATGCCTTTGATCTAAAGAATATATGTCAACAACTTCAGGCAAAGACATATTATATTCCCTGCAAAATCAAATATATCAGAAAATAGTTCACAGTTATATCTTTCTAATTTGAAAACAAACTCAAAGAAAGTCTAGAACAAAAATTTATTATGGTAGAGAGTACTATTACAGTTAAGTTAATGCAAACTAAGCTTTGTTCTATCTGTAATCAAAACAATCATATCCTGGCACAATATCCCATCAAGAAAAAAAAAACAATGATTATTATACAACAAAGACTAGACATCAAGATTTGGTAAACTTTATCAAAAGTTTAAATCTGTTGATACCTAATGAATCAGAAATATAGTAAGCAGAAAAATACAAATACAAAAACTCAGATCAGGCTCCTATATAATAGCATTAGCAACTAATTCTAGAACTAAACAATAAAATAGTTATAAGTGAAATCCCTTGGATAAAAATCCTCAACATATTACAACAAATGTGAAAGACATTAAAGAAATTAAATTATCAATCAAGGAACTTGATGAGAGAATCACATACCTTGAATTATATGAAGAAAATGATAACAATACAATAGAAGAAGATACATAACAAGCAATGAAAACTGACAATTACAATATAACAGACCCAGTTTCCTCTACTAAATCAACACCTTAAATTCAACAAAGATAACAAGAACTCTGTAACTCAACAAGATGGATTAAAACATGAGCAGCATCCTCTCTGCAATCAATATCCTTGTTCTGAATAATACACATTCCCCAATACATAAACAATAATAGATAGTTCAAATAGTACTAGTAAATCAGAAAAATACAATTCAATAAACTGGACCAGTAATCAAAACATACTCACATACTCTGAATCAACAATACAAATCACAGGCACAATAACAAAGAATAATAATAGCCACTTTATAACTAACAATATCTCAACTCCAAATCCAAATAACACAAATCTCGACCAAACAATAGATTAATTAAAAGTAATCCCAATACAAATAGAATACAATACATGGCACAACACTAAATAACACATCCAAAACCTATGAAAAATTACAATACAAAATATTAGAGAGCTCATAAATAGTTTCAAAAGACAAATCTGATTTAATCTCATTAATAATAAAGATTGGAATATAATAGTAATAACAGAGGTTAATAGAACAGTTCAGGCATTGAGACATTGAAAATATTCTAATTACTATACAATCTGAACCTACTATAGTGAAACAAGGTTAACATAATAATTCACAATAAAATCGCAAAAAGAATCTTTAAATATAAGACACTTAATGGAAGGTTAATAGTAGTAAATATGGTCTTCCCAAACAAACAAAAAATATTAATTATAGAAGTATACTTCTCTGCAGTAGCAATAATAAAAAAACATGTACCAATAACAAAATCTCTATAATAATGAATAAAGGAGACTAGTAACAAGTACTGGCACATTATAGTCCTAGAAGGCATGAATGGAACTCCCAACTCAATGTTGAACAAACACAACAATCATAAAATCTTATATACTAACAAACCAACTATACCTTATATAAAAATATTGATCAGTAGAAGCTTTGAAGACAGCAACTATATACATTATCCTATTAAAAAGAAGCTTTTATGGAAGGGGCAAGACTGTAAAAGTAGAATAGATCAAATATGACTCAATTCTTCAAACAAATGGCAATCAAGAAATACATATATATGAGATATACTACAATCCTTAATCAAAAGTGAGCATCAAACTATAACCATAGAACTAAAAATATAAAAACTAGATACAGGCTCAGGGAAAAAAGCCATAGTACCCAAGTATAATTACAGATTCAACTGGCAACACATTAGTACAAAGCAATGGATAGCCTTCATAAATATGATAGAAGAGTTAACCTCAAAAACTGCCTAACCAAATATCTTAATTGACGAAAAGTAAAACATCTTCAGAAATAATATACTAAAAGCCATTAAAAAAACATCTGTAAAATTAAGAACCACTATAGAAAAAGGATTCATTCAGAATAGGCAAGGTTTCATCACTTATCATTTCCTTACAAAAATTTTTAAACAATCTGCAAACTACTTAACAAGCATAGAAATAAACAATCCAATTGAAAAAACTCTGATACCTAATGAGATAAAGGTCAGATTTCCTGATATATACAATATGCTCATCTCAACAAGGACAGAAAAATCTAAAATATATATCCAAGAATGGATCTCAATTCTACAAAGAAATATCCAGGTACATAAACTTATAGTCAAATATACAGTATTATAAATTATAAACAGATCAAAACCATTAAACAAAGAATAATCAAATAGCAAGTTTTTCTTGAAACTAATAAAAAACCCATTATCAATAGCATTATGGAAAAAGTCATAAAAAACTATACATCTGGATAAAATAATCTTGCAAGAAGAGAAAACCAAAATTATCACAGACCCAATAGTAATTAAAGAACACGTAAGACTCTATTTACAGAAATAGATATCTCTAAGAAATATACAACTACTGGATAATTACCTATTGTGAAAAAGAGAGTATAAATCCAAGGGTTATATTCAATCATACTGATATAAAGTCACAATATAAGAAATCTTGAAAGAAGAACTTGACACTGCAATCAAAGAGTGAAGCAACAAATCTGTACCTGGGCTTAATCAAATTCTTTATATTGCTTATAAACATTTGAGAAAAAAAGTTAAAGAAGAAATTCAAGGGATTTTCAATCAAATAATTTAACAAGGTGATATCTTAGTAGAGTGGAACAAAGAAATCATATACTTAATTCCAAAATTAAAAGAATAGAAAAACAACCTTGATATTACAAAACCAATCACTCTACTTG